TCACTTTTCGAAAGGACACTAGTCATAGTAAATTCAAGTCTTTGTGGCCTAATTTAACCTTTGTTTCTGCCTTAGAGTCCTAATCATCAAACACTGGGGACTACAGCTTTAACATATAAATTTTGAGGAGACACAATTCAGTCAATAAAAAATGTCAAACTGTTCTCCAGTATACTTTTTCCAGTATTACATCCATTGGTAGTTTGTGTAATTGGCTAATTTCTTCAGTGCTAACAATTGAAAATGTCAGTCTTACTGAGTTTTGCTAGCCTTATGTTTTGTTTTAATATGCATTTTTCTTATTGCCAAAAATTAAATGGACTTTTTCTTTAAGTTGTTGTTTGCATTTTGTAATTCTAATCTAAAGTGGCTATACAAGAGTTTTGTAGTCTTTGAACTTTTTCTCTGCTTAATTTGTAGAACATATTAAATTAATTTTTTATGCATATACTAACTCCAACTACAGAGGGCTCAAATATCTTAAGTGTGTGGCTTGTTATCTTAATTTTTATATTTTTTGATAATAGAAGCCCATTATTTTGATGTAGTTGGCATATACGTTGTGGTTTTAAGAAATATTTGGCTTAAGAAATCCTACTCTATCCTGTCACAAACACATTGTCTCCATGACCTCTTAAGAGGTATAATTTTTTTCTTCCCATTTAAACTTTATGCATCTGAAATTAATTTTTCTGCATGATTATAAACCAAGGTAAAAATTAAAATGTTACTAAAGGGATACTTATTGACCTACTTTTTTCCAAAGTGGCAATTTTCCAGTGTTCTGTAACACCACCGCAGTCATACATTAAACATCTAAATATGTGTGTGCCACTTAAGTTTTATAGTTTATTTTGCCAGTTTTTAACTTAAATTCTATGCCACTATGCCAATAAATAGTATTATAAGCACTCCACCTCATCCCCCCAAAGACAAGAGTTTTAGTCTACAGTCTCTTAGCATTTTACCTTGCAACACCACCAAGAACGCCAAGTTAGTAATTAATACTTTAAACAATGTATTTCTATTCTCTGTTTATTTTTCAGCCACGAATGAAACAAACAATTTTGATACCCTTATTTCTCCATTATTATTTCCATATCTTATTGCCCTAGTTTCTCTTATTTCAGAACTGCCGCCAAGATTTTCTCAGCAGTCTCTGTATTGAAAAGAAAACATAAAGAGAAACAGTTAAGGACTGTGTCAGTTCTCAACTTTCAACATTGTGAACGCGTTGTTTGTAATCTGTGTTAGCCATCATGTTGAGAAATGAAGCTCAAATCGTATTCTGCTGAAACGCATATGTGATAGGCGTTGCGGGTACTAGCTTGAGGCGTTGTTTTCCCCTTTCTCCCTTGGACCATGGTCCCCATCGCGCAGTAACCGGGGATGAGACTGGGACTACGCTACCCGGAAGGCCGTGCGCCGGGCGCCCCGTGGCCCTGGGCCAATGAGGGCCCGGAAGAGGCGCGTTTCCGTGTGTGCGCAGCACGTCGGGGCGGAACTTCCGGCTTCTTTCTTCGGGGGTCGTTTTGGCCGTTGCTGGTTGCGATCGCACGGTTGGCGGCTGCGGCTCTTTGCGTCCCGGCCAGGTAGCTGGACGCGGAAAGCACTGGAGCTAGCATTCCCTCTGCAGAGGAGCAGGTCTGGGTTTGCGTCCGAGCGCCAGCGTGTGGTTTTCTTCCGCTCGCCCTGACCGGCCGTTCGGACGCGCTCCGCCGAGTCCCGCTCCGCCTTCGGGCTCCATGGCCGCGGCCGAGCTGGGGACGCCGCCACAGGTTAGTGTCGCGTCCCCCCGATCCTCACCCAGATCCTAAGTCTCGAATGGGGGCTGCCTGCTCGGGTCCCTGCAGCGTGGGTTTCTGTCTCCAGAACCGTGGGACGCTCGCGGGTGGGACCCCCGGTTCTGCCAGGGTGGAAGGGTGTTGCAGACCGTGCCCGTGCAGGGCTTTGGAGGTGCGCCAGAGCTGGGAGGAGTCGGGAAACCTGGGGTTCTACTCGGGTCTGCGGAGTGTGGGAAGTCACAGCCGCGGTGACAGCCTGAGCAGCTGGGCCTTCTGTTTGTCTCTTAGGAGCCATGGAGGTTTGTGAACAAAAAATGAACACGGTTTGAAGGAGTGTTTTTAAAGTATTTTAGAGGCCACTCGGGGAAGAATAGACTTGATGAGCGTGGAGACCGGTGAGGAGACTGCTGCAGTAGACCCCCGGAGAATTATTATTATGGTGGACTATGGGCCAGACTGGTGGCGAACAGGACATACATAATAATCTTTATAGACCTTACAAGTATAGCTGGTAGGATGTTCTGCTGTATGATTTGTGCTTGTGAGCAAAAGTGGGAATCAGAGTATGAGCCCAAGTTTTTGTGTTACCTGAACATCTGGAAGAATTGGAAGGGAATCTGGTCGGGGAGCAGGTTTTAGAGAGAGATTAGGAGTTGGATTTTAGACCTAGCGGTTGTAAAATGTCTCAGAGTGCAGTTTTTACATGGGCAACTAGAATCATAAGTAGGGAATTCAGAGTAGGGTACTGGCACAGTGATGTGTAACTGGTGTCAGGCTGGAGCCTGAGTCCAAAACTTAGGAAGTTTTAATGTTTTACTTTGAAATGAGCCCTGAGATGAAGGAAGGGGATGCTAAGGCTGGAGGGTGGGGAAGAGTGAATGTGCCTTGCTGAGGCTGAGGCAGATGGGAGGAACCTGTGGTTCCAGGGGTCTTCCAGAGGGTAGTGTGTAAATAGTAAGCACCTTTGCATAGGTTGGATTTGAGGATGAGAGACTGTAAATTCATCGTTTTGAAGACTCAGTAGACATCACTCCCTGTGGAGCTAGAAAATGACCAACCAGATTAGCAGAACTGCCCAAGCCCAGCAGGTGCCTCTGCTCTGCCAGGAAAATCACACAAATACCCACTATTGTGTTACGATTGCCTATGGCACAGTATTTGGTACAGTGATATACTTTATGGGTTTGTATAGATTTAACAAATTAAATTTATGCAAGCAATTAGTAATTGATTGAAATAGCAATATATCTTTGTGCTCTAGTAAAAAAGAAAAAATATATATATATGTTTACACACTCACTTGGTTTTTGTCGTACATTCCTGGCAAAGAGCTTTGTAATCTCCTTAGTGAAAAATGTCTTTTGTAATCCATTACAAGCCCCTTTTGATAATACAGTCATGTATCACATAACACCGTTGGCCATATCTATTGGTGGTCCCATTAGATTACAATGCCATGTTGTTACTGTGTCTTTCTATGTTTATATATGTTTAAATACACAAATAATTATTATTGTGTTACAATTGTCTACGGTACAATATTCAGTACAGTGGCATGCTTTATAGGTTTGTAGACTAGGAGCAGTAGGCTGTACCATATAGCCTAGATGTCTGTCATCTAAGTTTGTGTAAGTACACTCTGAGATGTTGGCAAAATGATGAAATTGCCTAACATATTTCTCAGAACATGTCCTTGCCATTAAGTAATGCATGACTGAACAGTAGTCCTCTTTGTCCTTGGCAGGTAAGTTCCAAGACCCCTAGTAGATGCCTGAAACTGCAGATAGTATGGAACCATATATATATTATGTTATTTCCTCTACTTACATATCTATGGTAAAGTTCAATTTCTAAATTAGGCACAGTACAAGATTAACAACAATAATAATACAAAACAGTCATAGCAATATACTGTAATAAAGGTTACAGGAATATGATCCCTCTCTCAAAATGTCTTATTGTACAGTACTCACCCTTCTTTTTGTGATGAGGAAGGGACCGAGCTGGATTGCATGAGATTTTCTCATACTACTTAGAATATCATGCAATTTAGAACTTACAAATTATGTCTGGAATTTTCCAGTTAATTTTTTCAGACCAAGGTTGACTGGGAAACTGAAACTGCAGATGGAGAAACTGTGAATGAGGGGGTACTTCTGTACCTGAGTTTAAGAAGATGACTTAGGGTGAGAAGACTTAGGATTGGATTTCTAGATAGCCTCAGAGTGGAGCTTGTCACCAGACAGACCAAATGATGATAGAATTTTAACTTTCAGCCCCACCTCTGACCTCCAAGGAAAGAAGAAGGGCTGGAGATTAGGTTATATTAAATCTTGAACAGTGAGATTCAGGACACTTCCAAGAACACTGGGAAATGGTGGGAGGGTGATATTACAGAGAGAGTGTAGGAGCACCCTGCCACATCCCCTTCTCAGTATTTTGCCATATACATCTTTTATATTTGACTGTTCTTGAGTTGCATCCTTTATAATAAACTGGTAAATGTAAGTGTTATCCTAAGGTCTGTGAGTGATTCTAGTGAATTATTGAACTTAAGGGGAGGGGGGTCATGACAACCCCCAAATGTGTAGCCAAATTGGAGAGAATTACTGTGATCCTTACAGTGGCTTGTGATTGGCATTTGAAGTAAGTATAATTTTTTGTGACTGAGTTCTTAAACTTATGGATTCAGGTGCTAACTCCAGGTAGTGTCAGAATAGGAATAGTATTCAATTGTAGGATACCCAGTTGTTATCAGAATGAGAAGATTGATATTGAAAATGATATCACATATTTGATGTCAGAGAATCACAGAAACCTCTAATTGTTTTGTAAAAAGATCACATTAACATGAAGCCTCAAGTGGCAGGTAAGATACACCCAAATTTTCAGAAAGTTTACAGAAATGTTAATCCCGTGGTCAGTAATAGCTAAATCTTAGCATTAGACTTGCACTAATGAGTGTTATGCCTACAACAAACAGCACTATGAAGTAGCCACCATAAGTGTTTCCATTTTACAGCTGAAGACAATCTCAGAAAGGTTAGGTCTTTGTCCAATGCCATACAGTTGGCAAGAGCTAGGACTGAGAGCTGAGGTTTTATGTCAGCCTGAGATCACCCTTTTCCAGGACAAAACAGGGAGGTAATAACTCAGCCTTTGTAAATGCCACCATGATCACCTTTATCTCATAGCTCTTTCTTCCTACACATTGTCGTGGCAACAGAAGTGTTTGTGGAACCATCACAGGTAAGTGGAAGAAGTCCCAGGTCCTCAATGGCCCTAATCCTTACACTCCATAGTCCTGACACACAGATACAGGTAATACTGATATTCCGGTATTCTTTGTCCTTAGTCCTGGGGTCCTGGGACTGCTTCACAGTCAGGATCCTTAATCAAGGTCAGAAGTTATAAGGAGATGTTACCATGTCTGCAGCCAGTAAGATAAGGTGATGAAAGGTTTCCTGAGCATAGGAATCAGCATGACCAAAAGCCTGGGGATGAGAATGAAGTGGGCATGTTTCGGGAAATACAAGTTTCTATTCTGTCTGCTGGTAACAGACAAGGAAGGGCAAGAGTCAGTCCTGTAGTGACAGGTTTAGGAGCAAAGGTCTCTGCTCAGGGTGATGGGAGGCATGGAGGGTCTGGAGCAGAGGAGGGAAGTGATAGGACTCAGGTCTGTACAAGCTCTGTTGGCAGAGTGGATAACAGATTGTAAGAGTGAGCATGGATACTACTGTAACTGTTCCAGGTAAATGTTGATGTTAGCTTGAACAGAGCAGTGCTGTAAAATTTGGAAAGAAGGTTAGTTTCTCGTCTGTTTTATAAATAGGGATGTTTTTCTTTTGAGCATAATGAGAGAAAGAAGTCTGGAATAACCTTAAGGTTTTTGGTCTTAACAGATAAAAGTGTAAAAATGCCATCTGCTGAGGCTGAAAGCAAATGGTTAGAATTACTATCAGGAGTGCGGTTTCTCTTTTTACTTTAATTTCTTTTTTTAAAATTAAGGCTACTTTTTTTTTTTGAGTTGGAGTCTCATTCTGTCACCCAGACTGGAGTGCAGTGGCCGCTCCTGGCCACCGCAGCCTCGACCTGCCGGGCTCCAGTGATCATTCCGCCTCAGCCTTCTGAGTAGCCGGAATTACAGGCATGCAGTACCACACCCGGCTGATTTTTGATTTTTTGTAGAGATGAGGGCTCGCCAAGTTGCCCAAGTGGGTCTCGAACCCGTGGGCTCAGGCAATCCACTCACCTCAGCCTCCCAAGGTGCGGGATTACAGGCTGAGCCACTGAGCCCGACTAAAGGCTACTTTTTATAGTAGTTATAGGTTCACAGTAAAATTTGGAGGCAAGTATAGGTATACCCATATACCCCTGCCCCCACACATGCATATCTTTTCACATTATTAACAGCCATCCTTAGAGTGTAGGATATTTATTATAATTGATGAACTTTGTTTTATCCTGTCAAGCCCATGGCTGGGGTCACCCCAAAAGCAGCAAAGTGGAGTTACCACAAGGGGACGCCCCCCCCAAGTAACGCTGAAATGGGATTGATTGGGATGCCAGGTGCTCAGTTCAAAGCATTTATTAGAGAAACCTACAGAGTGCTGCAGCAATCCGCATGACGAGAGGTGAGAGAAAAGTTCTAAGTATATCTGCAGCAAGGGAGGTGTCAGGATATGCAGTTTAGATGAAGATTTAGGAATGTTGACTCAGGGCAAGGGCCGATTTCTTTGAGTGTTTTGGACAACTACCTAGATAACTTTATTGGTGCCTGGGAATGTTCAAGGCTCTGGTTTGGGTTCAGCCCTTTGTGGGAAAACCTGCAGCTGGCTGTGTAATAGAGTGGTCAAAGCACTCTGTTTTTCTACACACAAAGGAGAGGGAACTGGGGGACCCTACAAACCTACATTTACACATCAGAGTCCATAGTTTACCTTAAAGGTTCTTTCACTCTTGGTTTTGTACATTCTATGAATTGGACAAAGGTATAATGATATGTATCCATCACAGTATCATATAGAGTATTTCTATTGCCCTAAAAATCCTATGTACTCTATTTTATCTTTTTTCACCCCTCCACCCACAATCAGTAAGTGAATTTTTGGGGTAGTTGGGTCTTGTTTATTGTTGATTGTTCCACTCTGACCATGTATCTTTTTATTGGTACAGTTAGACCCTTGATGTTCAAAGTGATTGTGGATGTGGCTGGATTAGCTTCTACCATATCTGTTACTATTTTCTATTTGTTACATTGACCCCACCTCCTATTTTTGTCTTCCATTCTTTTTCTCCCTTTTGTGGTTTAAATTGAGCATTTTTTATTATTCCACTTTCCATGTTTCTGATCTCTATATAATTTCTTTCTCTCTAAATAATTTTTTTTAAACATTTCTTATGAGGCAAGTCTACTGGGTACAGATTCTTTTGGGAAAAAAAGTTTTCTTTTTGCAAGTCTTTCTCCTTTATTTTGGAACAATAATTTCACAAAGTACACAATTCTAGGTTGGTGGGGTTTTTCTCTCAACACTTTTTCACTCCATTTTTCTCAACACTTTTTCACTCCATGTTTCTCTTGTTTGCATGGTTTCTGAAGAGAAGCTGGGTGTCATTCTTATCTTTGTTCTATAGGTAAAGTGTTTTTTTCCCTAGCATTTTTCAGGATTAAAAAATCTTTAATACTCTGTGGTTTGAATATGACATGTCTAGGCGTAGGTTTTAGGGAAGACTTATTGTATTTTGTCATCTCTATGCTTTCTGGATCTGTGATTTAGTGTCTGACATTAATTTGGGGAAATTCTCAGGTTATTTTTTCTATTTAATTTTTCTTATTTTGGTATTCCTAGGATATGTATGTCACATGTTTTGTGGTTGACCCACAGTCATTTGATGTTCCAGGATTTTTTTGTTGTTGTTGTTGATTTTTCTTTGTGCCCATCGCTTTTTTTTAATCTTGGAGGTTTCTATTGATATATCTTTATGATTATGGACTCTAGTCTCATCCTTGTTGAGTCTTCTAATAAGCTCATTAAAAGTCTTCTTCATTTCTTTTACAGTATTTTTCATTTCTGGCACTTTTATTCAGTTCTTAGGATTCCCATCTCTACTTACACTGCCCATTTGTTGTTGCTTGCTGTCAACTTTATCTGTTAGAGCCCTTAGCATCTTATTTATAGTCGTTTTATTTTTTATTTTTATTTTTTATTTTTGAGTTGGAGTCTCACTCTGTCGCCCAGACTGGAGTGCAGTGGCTGCTCCCGGCCACCGCAGCCTCGACCTGCTGAGCTCCGGCGATCCTTCCGCCTCAGCCTTCCAAGTAGCCGGAATTACAGGCATGCGCTACCATGCCCGGCTGATTTTTTTATTTATTGTAGAGATAAGATCTTGCTGCCCAGGCGGGTCTCGAACCCCAGGCTTAGGCAATCCACTCACCTCAGCCTCCCAAAGGCGCGGGATTACAGGCAGAGCCACCAAACTCGGCTTATAGTCGTTTTAAACTACCAGTTTCATAATTCCAGCATCCATGTCATATCTAGGACTGATGCTTACTCTTTTCTTCAAATTGTTTTTTGCCTTTTGGTATTCCTTATGATGTTTTCTTATGATGTACTCAATAAAAAGAACTGCAGCAGTGTAGTGGTGAGGTATTGGAGGAGGGAAAGCATTCTAAGTCCTACAGTTAGGCCTCATTTTTTTAGTGAACCTGTGCCTGTGGACTGTAAAATTACGATTCTCAATTTTGGGGTGTCCCCCCCACTTCCATTATGTGGGAGAGGATGACTAGAGTGGGTTGTAGTTGGGTATTTCCCTTCCCCAGGTTAATTAGACTCTGATAATACCTCTGCAGATTAGGTTTTGGCTAACTAGTGACTCCTGAGCCTGGGCCTTGTTTAGGACAGAGTGCTATGGTGTATTTTTTTAATATATATTTTATTTTAAAGATGTGTGGCTTAATTCAGGATTAGGTATACAAGTGGACATTGTACAGGTAAAGTTTGGGCCTCCCTTTGGTCCCCACTTTGCCTGGTTTGAGATCAGGTACCCTTATTGATGTGTGTCCCCTACCTTCACCCCCACCCCACCCCGGCAATATCCTGCTGTTGCCAATCCCTTTCTTATAGTATTATGGTAAATGTTCAAGGTCTGCTTATGAGTGAGGTGTATTTTTTGTAATGGTTCATTTTCCCTTCCCTTTACTGGGAGCACAAGGGGATTTTTTTTCTGTATTTATCATAAGAACCTAGTTAAATTCCTGGAAGTAAATATCACAAGATTGTAGGGGTCCCCTATTACTGAGTCCCTCTGGAGTTTTTAGCTCTCAGAATTGTCAACACTGAGCCTCCAGCAATTCATGAATTATAGTTTAGATTTTCCTAACCTGGAACTGGTTCCCATGTTGGTTTCTTTTTATGTAAGCCTTGACTCTCTGTATTTATTCATCTGTCTCCAGTCTTGAGGGTAGTGATTTTTTCTGAGTCCTTACCTCTCTGTGGATTCTAAAAGAGGTGTTCATTTTTCAGTCTGTTCAGCTATTTACTTTCTATTATGATGGTGTGGTGACTTCCAGGTTCCTTACTTGCAAAACAAGTTAGAAGTCCAGGAGTTAGATTTTCGCAATGTGGAGTCTCATGTTGGGACCTGAGTGGTGGTATAAGGTGCACAGCAAGAAACAGACATCTGGAGTTCAGGGAAGGGATCCAGGTGAAAGCTGTCCCTTTAAAATCAAGGTCAGGGTTGATTTTAAAGGGAGGAATCTTCAGGTCACAGTGGCAATGTCATCAGCAGGGAAGGTTGAGGAGAGTATTCAATAACTGGATCTCTTGCATGGTTGCCTGGATAAAGGTGATAACCATTACTGAAAAACAGATGAGAGAGATTAGTGACCATGGGTGTCTAGGGGTAGGATAGGGAGAATGCAGCTGGCACGGGCTTTAAATTGGGAATGGTTAAAGAGAGTCATTCAGAGGCAAAGATGTAATGAAAGTCAGATGACACTGTGGTCAAGGCTGGTGCTTTTTTCCCCTCTGCTGGCTCAGACTTTTTCTCCCCTCTGCTGGCTCAGACTTTGTGATAGCCCTTGGTGGGACCTGAGGAGTTTCAGGCAGGATGACAGACTAGATTAGGAGCAAATTAGATTGACTGGGAGAATTAGACTGGTGGGATCAGTTGGGGCCTGGACTTTGAGTATAGGTAGAGAGAAGGAAAGATGTAACTAGTGTGGATACAGCATAGGCAGAACTGAAGAGGGGAAGGGCATCTATCAACTGAGTTCCACACCAGGTCTGGGTGGCTGAAACTGGAGCCAGAAGCCAGACCAGATGGGGAGGTCTTCATAACAGTGCTGAACCTGTCTCTGGTTTGTGTCCAACAGAGATGTAGGGTAATGCTGGATCCTGGTTACAATTGGCAATTATTCTTGAGTGCCTTGAGCAGAGTGGCATGTGGAGAAGCCAGTGAGGTGCCTGTGGCATGGACCCAGGAGGTAGCCGTGGTATGGAGAGTGTAGCAGTCATGGTCTGGAGATGTGAGAGAACTGCCTTTCCAGGAGAGATGTACAAATGGGAGGGAGTGTGAATGGATGTACTCAAGGTTCTTATACTCAGGATTTAAGCCAGCAGGGTGAGCACAAGATTGGGTGTATGTGGTATGATCTGGGTCTCCAGGGAAATTAACTAGCAGATGCATCGGTAAGATTCTGTATACAAGGCCTAGAGCCCAGTTGGCACTACCTCTCTACCCTTACAGCAGTGGTGACTGGAGATATGGGGAGATGGAAGGTAGCAGTGGCACGAGGATCTGGTATCTCCTCTCAGTTGGGCAACTGGGGAGGAGGGAGATTTACTGGGTGTCCTGGGGCTTAAGACTGCTCATGAACTCACCTGTCCCCCTTATGACAGGGCCATGTCACCTTTGAGGATATTGCTGTGTACTTCTCCCAGGAAGAGTGGGAGCTCCTTGATGAAGCTCAGAGATGCCTGTATCATGCTGTGATGCTGGAGAACTTTTCACTTATGGCCTCAGTGGGTAAGATCTCTCAAGGTCACACCAACAGGTTATGCTGGACTCTGCTTTTTCACTTTTTCCAGGAGTTGCCCTATCTTTCCCAGAGTTGGACTATGAACCCTGCTTCCTTCCTTTTCCTGACATAGGTACTGTATTTGCAAGGTCTGGGTTTTTTGCAGCCCTAATACCTACTGTACTGAAGCCTTTCAGCTAAAGGTTTTTGTTGAGGGTCTTTTTATTTTTATTTTTGTGTTGGAGTCTCACTCTGTCACCCAGAGTAGAATGCAGTGGCACAGTCGTGGCTCACTGAAGCCTCAAACTACTGGCCTCAATCACTTCTGCCTCCTGAGTAGCTGGGACTGCAGGCATACACCAGTACATCTGGCTAAATTTTTTTTTTTTGTAGACAAGTTCTCACTATGTTGCCCAGGCTGGTCTTAAACTCAGGAAATTCTCCCTCCTTAGCCTTCCAGAGTGCTGGGATTACAGACGTGAGTCACTGTGCCCATCCAGATTCAGAGTCTTATAACCTCCTTGGCTTTGCCACTCCTCACTAAGGTGATGTTCAGATCTGTGGCAGACCTGTGTTACAGGTTTTTCCTCTGCCTTTAATAGGTTTTTTGGGAGCCTGTCTTTTTCAGGAATTGCAGGCACTTACATGGTCACTGTTAGTAGGAAACATTAGGCGATGACAGCAAGACCCTCTCCCAAGATTTTTTTTTAAAATAAATTTATCTTCTGCATTCTGTCATGAGTGGAGACTCTCTGGGTTAGTGTTTTTTACTCAACTAACTGTTTTCCCCTTAGGACATCTACCTTCCAGGTCCCAGATAGTCTCCTGACTTGAGCCAGAGACAGGGGAGAGCCCTGTGTTCCTAACACAGTGATGAAGGTTCCAGCCATAACAAGAGGGGTTAACAGCATCTGGGGCCTTGTGAGTAGGAGCAGCGAAGGGACATGATTTCAGGGATGAGCTCAGATCACACTAGCAAAAGTCCTATGCTCTCACTATTTTGGTTCCAAGACTTGTGACCATACCTCACTTCTGTCTTTCCTCTGCCTACTTGATGTTTTGCTTGCTTATCATTTCTACTGTGACTTATGACCCCTGGCTGTCCCCTACCTCTCTGTCTCCCACATCTCTTCAGTTCCTCATCTGCAGGTTTCTCCAACATTTGCAAACACTTAACGTATTATGAGATTTACATAGGTGCTTTTCAATTTATGATGGGGTTATATTCTGATAAACCCACTGTAACTGAAAATACCATTAATATACCTAATTGTTGAACATTTGACTTAGCAACACAGTACACTGCAGCATATCAGTTGTTTAGTCTCGTGATTGCATGGCTGACTGGGAGTTTCTGACTGGGAACTGTGGCTGACTGAGAGCTGCAGCTCTCTACTACTGCATCATAGGAGAGTACCACACCACAACAAGGGCATTACAATGTAGCAAATGTGAGCAAGTTTTCAGTGAGAAAGTTCATGTTATTGAGCATCAGAGAGTTCACACTGGAGAAAAGGCATCTAAACACAGTGAACTTAACCAACTTAAAGTATGGTTTCTACTGCATGCATATTACTTTGCACCATTGCAAAGTTGAAAAGTCGTAAGTTGAACCATTTTGTAAATAAAGGACTACCTGTATACTTAAGTAATCGTTGAACATTAGCTTCCCAGTTGCAGTTGCATTTTGGGGGGGATGAAATGCACTTCTCCAGCAGACGAGGTCCTGTTCAAAACCATTGATAGAGAAGTGAGTTGTAGATTTTTCTTCTTCTTTCTCCCACAGTACCCGGTTACTTGTTTTCTTACTGGTTGTGGGCCTCTCCACATTGTAACCTTTAGAGGCCTGGTACTGCAAGCATTGACTTCCTTGACATGACCCCAGCTCCATTTTCCTGATAACAAATTCATGGATTCATCCCTGCTTGTGTCATGCAAGTATTTATAAGAGGCTTAATCCCTTTCACCAAAGTATGCATATATGTCACTTCATTTTTGTGCTTTTAGGTTCTTGGCATCTAGTAGAGGCTGAGGAGGCCCCTTCTGATCAGACTGTTTCCACAGAAAACGTGTCACAGGCCAGGACTCCAAAAGCCAATCCTTCCATCCCAAATACTTATCCCTGTGAGATGTGTGTCCTGATCATGAAAGACGTTTTGTACCTGGCTGAACACCAAGGAACAGTTCCTGGGCAGAAACTGTATACTTGCGTGGCATGTGGGAAACAGTTTCCATTTATTTTGAACCTACACCAGAACAGTGGAGAGAAACACATCAGAAGGGAAGAGAACAGTGATTCGCTTCTGAATGGCTCTACAATCTCTGTGTTAGGCAATCTTTTTGCATACAAAGATGTTGACAATAATTTCCTAGCCAGCCTGGGCCTTCTCCAGCACTATACCATCTCTAATGGAGAGTATCCACATAGAAGCAGCGAGACCTTTCATACTCAACAAGGGCATTACAAATGTAGCAAATGTGAGCAAGTTTTCAGTGAGAAGGTTCATGTTATTGAGCATCAGAGAGTTCACACTGGAGAAAAGGCATCTAAACATAGTGAATGTAGGAAATCCTTGAGGTCTAAATACTCACTTGAACACCAGAGAATGCATAATGGAGGAAAGCCTTATGTGTGCAATGTATGTGGAAAATCATTCCGTCACAGACAATCATTTGTTGGTCACCAACGGAGAATCCACACTAGAGAGAGGCCTTATATGTGCATTAAATGCGGGAAATCCTTTATTTATTCCTATGACCACATTCGACACCAGAGAATTCACAATGGAGAAAAAGCTTATGAATGCAATGAATGTGGGAAATCCTTTATTTACAAACAGTCACTTCTTGATCATCAAAGACTCCACACGGGAGAAAGGCCTTATGAGTGCAATGAATGTGGGAAAGCCTTCATCCACAAAAAAAGACTTCTTGACCACCAGAAAATCCACACTGGAGAAAAGCCTTATATGTGCAATGTATGTGGAAAATCATTTCTCTACAAACACACACTCATTGGGCATCAGCAGAGAATTCACACTGGAGAAAGGTCTTACGTGTGCATTGAATGTGGGAAATCCTTGAGCTCCAAATACTCACTTGTTGAGCACCAGAGAACCCATAATGGAGAAAAGCCTTATGTGTGCAATGTATGTGGGAAATCATTCCGTCAAAAACAATCGTTTGTTGGTCACCAGCGAAGAATCCACACTGGAGAGAGGCCTTATATGTGCATTGAATGTGGGAAATCTTTCATCCATTCCTATGATCACATTCGACACCAGAGAATTCACACTGGAGAAAGGGCTTATGAATGCAGTGAATGTGGGAAATCCTTCATTTACAAACAATCACTTCTCGATCACCAGAGAATCCACACTGGAGAAAGGCCTTATGAGTGCAATGAATGTGGGAAAGCTTTCATCCACAAAAAAAGACTTCTTGAGCACCATAGAATCCACACTGGAGAAAAGCCTTATGTGTGCATCAAATGTGGGAAATCATTTATTCGATCCTCTGACTACATGCGACACCAGAGAATTCACACTGGAGAAAGAGCTTATGAGTGCAGTGAATGTGGGAAAGCCTTCATCTCTAAACAAACACTTCTTAAGCACCACAGAATCCACACAAGGAAAAAGCCTTATGAATGTAATGAATGTGGGAAAGGCTTCTACCTTGAGGATAAACTTCTTCAGCACCAAAGAATACATGCCAGAGAAAAACTTTATGAGTGCAGTGAATGTGGGAAAGCCTTCAGCCACAAAAAACTTCTTGAGCACCAGAAAGTTCATACTGGAGAAAAGCCCTGTGAATGTACCGAATGTGGGAAGTGCTTTAGATACCACACCAGCCTCATTCAACACCAGAAAGTTCACAGTGGAGAGAGGCCTTATAATTGCACTGCATGTGAGAAGTCTTTCATTTATAAAAACAAACTTGTTGAGCATCAGAGAACCCACACTGGAGAAAAGCCTTTTGAGTGCAACAGATGTGGAAAAGCTTTCAACAAAAGGTATTCACTAGTCAGGCACCAGAAAGTTCATACAAGAGAATGATCCTAGCCATTGAGGGGTTGTACTATTCCCTTGTTTACCATAACACACCAGAGAGAAGATTTTTCAATTGAACTGTTAGAAGTTGAACCTTGTACATCTAAAGATCAGTAGTTAGATTCACTACAAGGTCCAGGTATTTGGGAAACTTTTTGGAGCTAACTTCTACTTTCTAGTCTGCCCAGCATTGCAGCAGCCACTACCATGTGGTATATTCCCCATATTGTCCATCAGTCATTCACATATGCTCAAGGAATATCAAATCCTGAAGGGAATCATGAATATGGAGCCTATTGAGTATTTCCTCCATCCTACCAAACTGAGACATAGACAAGAACCACCTTTGGCCAAGAAGAGCACTCTGGGTTCTAGCAACCTGTGGAGGTTTACCTTCTTCCTGGATATTGTTTTTTCCTTTTCCTTTTTTTTTTTTTAAATGTGATCACTGTGGTAGGAGTTTTCTTATTCCACTCAAGAGTATGTGCTTGTGTGTGTGTTCTGCCAATGTGAGGGGTAAACAACCTTTGTAGGAACTTCAACTTTGTGTGACCTTAATCATGTGGTGTGGATGCCATACTTATTTGTAGCTCCAGAGGTCTCACTGAAAAGAGACATTTGTAACAAACTCAAGTGCTAGAATCTGTATGAATTGGTTTTTTTGTTTCTAGTGATGTCCCATATATCCTAGCACTGTTCAGGGGAAGCTGCTTCTTAGTTCCTTCAGCGTAAGTGCGCTGAAGGACAAAATTTGGTTGAGAGATGACTTTAAGACCTACTAGGGCCAGGTAAGAACGTAAGCCCAGAGATGTTAGTGTGATGGATAAGGAGTGAAAAGATTGCAGCCACTAGTAAATGTGTCCCCTTCTAAGGGTACATCTTGAAATGTTGCTATGACTTCATGGTTTGGGGGTGTGTAGAAATTCTCAGGACCTCCTAAGTAAGTCTTGTGTTATCAAATATTCTGGCTTCCTTAAAAGATGCATATTTTTGTGTGGAACCATTTATTTTAAAACACGGTGCAGTTTTCAAACAGAAAACTTGTCCTTCTAAGGAAGCTTGTTCATGTGGTTTCTTGTCCAATACTAAGTTTTGATATTTCCTCATATAATCTCAATAAATCCTTGCATTAGAAATATGTGCTTATGTCTTCTTTTTCTTTTTTTCTTTCTTTTGAATTGGAACCCCACTCTGTCACCCAGGCTGGAGTGCAGTGGCATGCTTATGGCCACTGCAGCCTCCACCTACTGGGCTCTGGCGATCCTTCTGCCTCAGCCTTTCAAGTAACTGGAACTATAGGCATGCACCATCATGCCCAGCTAATTTTTTGATTTATTATAGAAATAAGGTCTCACCAAGTCACCCCCGCTGGCCTTGAACTCCTGGACTCAGGCAATCCTCTCGCTTTAGCCTCCCAGAGTGCTGGGATTACAGGCTTGAGCCACCAAGCCCGGCCTTGCTTATGTCTTCTATTTTGACTTTTCATTCACTTTGTCTTCCAAGAAAAAGTTCTTAATTTTGATAAAGTCTTAATTTGTCTATTTGTTCTTTTACTGATTGTTCTTTGAGCGTTATTAAAAGAAATGGGCCAGGCACAGTGGCTCAAGCCTGTAATCCCAGCACTTTGGGAGGCGGAGGTGAGAGGATTGCTTGAGCTCAAGGGTTCAAGACCAGCCTGAGCAACATGGCAAGACCTCATCTCTACAATAAATCAAAAAATTAGCCGGGAGAGATTGGGTGCATAGGAAGGGTGAGGAATGGGGATCCTGCTGTTTTTGGTCAAAAACTGAACATAGCATGGTATGGGTTGAAATAGTAGAAGTCAGTTTCTAGCTCTTGTCTTAGAATTAAATAACTAACTATATCTTAACATTAAAGTGACATATCTCCCAGATAAAAATACTATAGTATACTTTTATAAATTTGATTTGGCAATTTGTCACTATGCATGGCCCAAATCAGAGTTCACTTTATTTCAGAAACATAACACCAGAGATAGAGATATATTACAAATGAATTGAAATTAAATACAAATAAATACTTAACTCTAAAATATAAAGCACCACTTCAGGATTCATAATAATCACTTAGGCAAAAGACCGAAACTGCTGACAGTGTACTGTGTATACATAGGTAGTACTTAGAAGTAAAACATAAGTTGTAAAATGGTTGTTACCAAAATAATGAGGAAAAGTAAAATCAATGAAAATATTGTATTATTTTCCAGTGTAATATTAGTATATCAAAATTGTATTATGGGTCAAATTTGTGATACCATATTTTCATTTTTATTCTAACAACCATAATTAATTACAGGTTTTTAGGGCTAGTTTTTTTTTTAAATAGCCTGAAAAGTGTAAGACATTGAAAAATCACTTTAAGTGCACAATACTCGCTGATTGATATGATGCCATTCTGCAAAGCACTATGGTTTTATCATTCATTTTTCCTTAATAACTTTTTAAAAGAATAGATAATTTTTCAAAGCATTAAGTTTAGGATAAGGTCTTTGCATTTATATTCAAGTTCATTTCATACCAAATACACTGTGTCATTGAAATAAAAGGTGCAAGAGCACCAAAGTTTTGGGGAAAAAACTGGCTTTTGATAAAGACCCTTTAAGATTAAAATATTACTAGGAAATGATATGTTATAGAACTAAACCATTAAAATATGATAAAAGAATGGGGAAAGAAAAATTATTTAGAGAGGGGAAATGATAGAATGAATAAAAATGACAGATCAACAGTTATGTTGCAGGATTTAATTCCATTTTTTTGTTTTTGTCTTTATCAAGAGGTACTACAACAGAAACCTGTGAATCTTGAAATCAATGTAGTTCATGACTACTAGCCCATTAAAGAATTTCAGCAGCTCAGAGGGCAATGACTCAATGCCCACTTGGTTTTATTGGCTCTATGGAGTCACAGGGAGAACCTAAATTGTCTCCTCTCAGAGAGATTACTTCCCTGTCAATAAGGGTCTCTGGTCAGAGTTGTTTTCCATGTGAAAAAAAAAAAAGTTACCTATAAAATGAGGTAGGCAGGTGGAGTGGTAACATGCGATGCTAAACAGATAAGGATATTATTTCAGATACAAGAATGAATTCAAAGGGATAGCCAAGGTCCCTAAAGGACCAAGAGTTTAATGAGAGTGAGGTAGTATGAGAATGAGATATTGATCTGGTTACTTGTCAGGATAGCATTTGTATTTGACACTAAAGTTCTGTTTATTCCTTTTGTTTGTACCCTACAACCTTTATGCCATGTTTTTCTTTACGTAAGATTTTTATTTCCATAAATGCAAACAAAATGAGATTTTTTTTTCTAAATAAGAAGTGAATGTTAACAACCTTTTATTAACCAGAGAAATTTAGAAACACATTACAGAATCCAGTTAAAATTACATGCCTCATCTCATTTGCAAAACATAAGGCAACAAGACCAGAAGTACATACATGGTCCAGCAAGGTTTTTTTTGAGTTGGAGTCTTACTCTGTCACCCATGCTGGAGGGCAGTGGCATGCTCACGGCCACCACAACCTCGACCTGCTGGGCTCCAGTGATTCTTCCACCTCAGCCTTCTAAGTAGCTAGAACCATAGGCATATGACACCATGCCCCACTAATTTTTTTTAATTGTAGAGATGAGGTCTCAAACCCCTGTACTCAGGCAGTCCTCTTGCCTCTGCTTCCCAAAGTGCTAGGATTACAGGTGTGAGCCACTGCACCCGGCCTGGTCCAGCAACTCAATTGGTGTTGGCTGTCAGGACAATGGTGGCAGGAAAGGCATAATTGCAGGGGTAGCAAGAGAAATTTGAACCCTAAGATAAAGATTTGAGATTCCATGGTCTCATCTCCTTGCTAGGAGTGATGATCTTGTCACCTATAATTACAGTGACCGTGTCTTCCAAGGGATTTTAGGTTATATCTGAAAAAATTTGTGAATTATGCAAATCACTGAGCTATCAAAAACAAATAATGGTATCCAATAGGATTGGCAGGCTACATGAGTGAGAACTTACTTTTGAAATAAAAATTCTAATGGAAGCTAATCAGAAGACATTAAAATCTAATAACTGGCTGGGTGTGGTGGCTCAGCCTGTAATCCCAGCACTTTGGAAGGCCAAGACAAGAAGATTGTCTGAGCCCAGGGGTTTGAGACAAGCCTGGGCAACTTGGTGAGACCTCCTCTCTACAATAAATCACAAAAACTAACCAGGCATGGTGGCGTGTGTCTATAGCTCCAGCTATTTGGAAGGCTGAGGTGGAGGGCTCACTTAAGCCCAGCAGGTCGAGGCTGCGGTGGCTGTGAGCGTGCCACTGCACTCCTCTAGCCTGGGCAACAAGAGTGAGACTCTAACTCAAAAAAAACCAAAAAAACTAATAACTGAAAGAAGAAGGCCAAGCACATTCTATTCAAAATATAATTCCTTTTTATTTCTGATCACTCTGAGGGTACTTAAATTGAAAGAAGAGGCAGCAAATGAATAGAGTTAGAGTATACAGTTGTTGTAAATGAACAGAAAATCTGCATTGTCATATTTGTTCAGTGCTTCAACAAATATGTATTGTTTACCTTTTGTGGGCGAGGAACATTTCTATATATAGGATATGTGATTGCACAGAATATAAAAATTTTTTTTCATAGAATTCACATTCTAATTGAGGAAAACAGGCAATAAGCATTGTGTCCAAGTTGTTAAATTATGTGGTATATTGGACAGTAAATAGATCCTATGGAAAGAGACAGAAGTAAATTGGGTAGGGAAGGGCTGAACTAGCAAACCAGATTTCCAATTTTAGATTCTTTGAGGAAGTAATTTAAGGTGATGCTATGGTTTGGATATTTGACTCCTGCAACTCTCATGTTGAAATCTGATTCCTAATGTTGGTGGTGGAGCCTAGTAGGAGGGTTTTGGGTCATGGAGGCAGAGCCCTCATGAATATGTCTTTGTGCTTTCCTGGTGGTAATGGGTGAGTTCTCACTCTACTGGTGCCCATGAGAGCTGGTTTTAAAAAGTTTTTTTAAACTTAGTATCTCCCTTTATTGCTTTCTCTCTTGCCACAGAATCTGCACATACTGGTTCCTCTTCTAAGCAGCCACAGGCCCTCACTAGAAGCAGATGCCTTCACTATACTTCTTGTCAAGCCAGCGAAGCCATAAGCCAAATAAATTTCTTTTCTTTATAAGTTATCTAGCCTCAGGTATACCTTGATAGCAACACAAAAATGGACTATGACAGGTAGTTTAGTGATAAATTCCTTTTTTACTCCTTTCCAAACATCACTGTTTTAATTTAGAATCTTTACAATGAGGAGCACCTCTTCAAATATTTGGAGAGATACAAGATGGAAATGGAGATTTTTATTACAGGTCCTTGGAGGATAAATAGTATACCAAAGGTCATGCACACAAAGGTCAAGAGGCACGAGAAGGAAGTAAGAGAGAAAGGTACTCACAAGCCTTTACTGGGGTCCAGAGCATTATCCAAGCAGATTTTCTGTGCGGAATTTTAATTGGTAAGTTTAAAGCAAACAGGCACAAGTTCTAATAGGTCATGCTGTGACTGAGAGTTGTCACTGAGGCATGTCAGAACAGTCCATGCAGGGTGTGGGGGTCCTTGGGACTAGTCAAGAAGGCTGCATCTAGCTGTCCCATAGGAAAGTGGTCATCAAAAAGCAGTTGTATAAGGCAGATATCTGAATCAACACACTGAAAAGCTGGGAGGAGGCAAAAAACTAGAAACTGTCAAGGATAACTGTACCCTCCTGCTGGTATGAGAAAGTTAAGCTTATATTCACAATGAATGTTAAAGCAACATGAAAACATAGGAATCCACTACAATTACATATTCATTTTCTTACTTTATTGAGTAGACAGAATAATACTGAATACAGTATAATACTGAATCCAAGTGTAAAGAGTGAGCATCCTGATAGCACAATTTCAGGGAAATACTTCATAATGGACCAAGAAAATGTGTATTGTTTCTGCACAGGGTGATCTGTGGTTCACAGCCTGTTGTAAAATGTCTTGTGAGACCTGACTACACATGCCATATGGTGGGCCTTCTGAAGGGAAGAATCTTCCTTAGGACTCCTGATCTATAACACTCACTGTACTGAAGTATCCTG